GATTCAGGTGCTGACATGTAGTGACTGTTGTATGAAGCTTTCAGTTAGAAGCAGGAAATGAACATGAAAATAATTTGTTGTAAAAAATAAGATACAGTGCTATTAAACATTGGTTTAAGTAATGTAGAGAAATAAAAGAGCAAAACATAACTGCAGTTCTACAGGCTTTTCCTTTACACCATTACTACCTTTGACTCCAACCCTGCAGTTCCAGTTACTGTTAGAGACACTTGCCTGTTAAGCAGTTCTCTGACAAATAAGGAAAAGCATCAGAAGATGGTACTGGAGGCCTTCTGGTAGAAACAGGATTTAGACCTAATTGGTATGATGATGTGCTTCAATCACACTGATTTATCTTCTAGAAACCCTATCTGTTTTACTTCATCTTGACTTCAGTTACAGATACAAATGGTCTCAATGCAGCATAAAGAGAAAAAAAAATTAAAGAAAATGTCCTCACAATTTCAATCCTGCTGTTAACTGAATCTGAGCAAAGCTAAGCACCACAGACAGAAATATTTATTTCAGAGTTAACCCAGTAATCACCTTTTAGAAAATGCTAACATATTAAAATAGAGGTACATATTCAGCTGACATTTACTTACACAGCTTTTTCATACTAATTTCTAGCTAGTATTACTCCTTCAAAACAAAAATTTTGTTCCATGTCTTCACAAATATGATAAAAAAAATTAGTAGCAAGTCACAAGGTTCAAGCTGCTCAGCCAACACCTGGGATCAAGCTTCTCCCATATGTTGTTTCAGAGTTTTTCTGTTTAATTGATTTATTAAAAAGCATTAAGTTTATTAGTTATTATTTGCAAATAATATTTAGACCTGTGTTATGGTATACGCCTAGTTAAAATCTGGTTTTTAAACAGTTATTAATTTTTTCTTCTAAATCAAAGTACAAGTCATTTGGAGATGGACTATACCACTCACACAAGCACTGCTCGTCAAGACCTTGGACTGCTACCCTTTCTGAGCTAGTTCTCTGCTGCTTTTACCACACAGCTATGAATACCAATGAGGCTTTCCTATTTGCATGCTGCTTTGATACAAAAGCAGTAAAAACTATGTTGGCTGTAACAACAGTACATGAATATCCGTGCTTGTGAAGGTGAAAGAAAGAGACAATATTCAGTGAGGAGAAAATGTATTCCTTTAAATACTGAGAGAAAAAACACTAGTCTAACTCCACAAATAACTTAGGAATAAAACTGCGTATTAAAAGCTGTGATTCTTCAGCCTAGGTAACACTGTAACATCACTTTTCATCACATTTTGACAAGAAAGTTTCCAGACTCCAGGGAATTGTGGTATGAGGTGAAAGGTAAAACTTGATGATCATGAAGGTCTTTCCCAACCTTAATAATTTTATGTAGTGATATTTTTCTGCAGTCAAGAAAACCTACAGCAGACAGCAAACTCACTTTTACTAATAAAGAGACAAACATGGAGAAATGAGGGAAAACCTCCCACTTGATGGAGGGCACCAGCTTTCCTCTGCACTGCCCAGCCATGTACAAACCCAAATGAAAGGCATGAGGATTCATACTTTAAAAATCATCTGCTAACACTTAAAAGAGAGATTTAAATTGAATGTGGCATTAACAATACCAAACAGTTCTATTAAAACCTTGTCAGTCACTTGTAATGGTTGATTTCTTCCATACTAAGTATTGGCTCGGCTCTGACAATTTACCTTGGAAGTTCCAGAAAATATTCTGGAAAGCAACTGAAAATAGAACTTAAAAGAACCCCAAACAACTGAGCTCTACAGTACTATTTATCCCAAATATTCAAAACGCATGAATAACCTCAAACCATATTTGTATTTTATATTATTTGGCATGCCCCAAGTTTTGATCCCTCTTAGTCCATTATGTAATTTTACTGCCACCACCATAGCCAGAGAGAGAGCTTTGGCCTCTTGCAGCCCACACATTCATTGTAGAGGTCCTCTCCTTCCATGCCTAGAGCCTCGTTCCCTCCCTGCAAGTAACGCACATCTTACCTTTATTCCATAGGGAATTTAGTCTGTTCTCCTGGGCAGGGAATAATTTCCACAGGGTCTCTTTCCTTCTCTTTTTGTGTGGCAGCTTTGCAGCATATTTTTTTCTTCTAAGGCAACTATCCTACTTAATGGGAGGAGCTACAACGTACTTAGCAGCAGGTGCGTTTGAAATTGACCAGCACTTAAATCCTTTCTCAGCTAAGGCTGGGAGCAGTTCATTCTTTCCAGGCAGGAACTGCGGCCTGAGGAGAGGCCCCCTCGGGCCAACACGTGCTCCGTGGGGAGAG